GGTTGTCTTTTCCTCTTGTTTATGGTTTCCTTTGCTGTGCAAAAGCTTTTAAGTTTCATTAAGTCCCATTTCTTTACTTTTGTTTTTATTTCCATTTCTCTAGGAGGTGGGTCAAAAAGGATCTTGCTGTGATTTCTGTCATAGAGTGTTCTGCCTATTTTGTATATGGTGTTAGGGAGTGTTCTAATTTCATTCTTTTACATGTAACTGTCCAGTTTTCTGAGCACCATTATTGAAGAGGCTGTCTTTTCTCCATTGTATATTCTTGCCTCCTTTATCAAAGATAAGGTGACCATATGTGTGTGGGTTTATCTCTGGGCTTTCTATCCTGTTCCATTGATCTATATTTCTATTTTTGCACCAGTACCATACTGTCTTGATTACTGTAGCTTTGTAGTATAGTCTGAAGTCAGGGAGCCTGATTCCTCTAGCTCCGTTTTACTTTCTCAAGATTGCTTTGGCTATTCGGGGTATTTTGTGTTTCCATACAAATTGTGAAATTTTTTGTTCTGGTTCTGTGAAAAATGCCAGTGGTAGTTTGATAGGGATTGCATTGAATCTGTAGATTGCTTTGGGTAGTATAGTCATTTTCACAATGTTGATTCTTCCAATCCAAGAACATGGTATATCTCCCCATCTGTTTGTATCGTCTCTAATTTCTTTCATCAGTGTCTTATAGTTTTCTGCATACAGGTCTTTTGTTTGTTCCTACGTATTTTTTTGTTGTTGTTGCAATGGTAAATGGGAGTGTTTCCTTAATTGCTCTTTCAGATTTTTCATCATGAGTGTATAGGAATGCAAGAGATTTCTGTGCCTTAATTTTGTACTTTGCTACTTTACCAAATTCATTGATTAGCTCTAGTAGTTTTCTGGTATTGTCTTTAGGATTTTCTATGTATAGTATCGTGTCATCTGCACACAGTGACAGTTTTGCTTCTTCTTTTCTGATTTGGATTCCTTTTATTTCTTTTTTCTTCTCTGATTGCTGTGGCTAAAACTTCCAAAAGTATGTTGAATAATAATGGTGAGAGTGGGCACCCTTGTATTGTTCCTGATCTTAGAGGAAATGGTTTCTGTTTTTCACCATTGAGAATGATGTTGGCTGTGGGTTTTCATATATGGCCTGTATTATGTTGAGGCAGTTTCCCTCTAGTCTACTTTCTGGAGAGTTTTTATCATAAATGGCTGTTGAATTTTGTTGAAAGCTTTTTCTGCATCTATTGAGATCATCGTATGGTTTTTATCCTTCAATTTGTTAATATGGCATATCACATTGATTGATTTGCATATACTGAAGAATCCTTGCATTCCTGTGATAAACCCCATTTGATCATTTAATGTACTATTGAATTTGGTGTGATAGTGTATTATTTAGAATTTTTGCATCTGTTTTCATCAAGGATATTTGTCTGTAGTTTTCCTTCCTTGTAATGTCCTTATTCTGGCTGTGGTATCATGGTAATACTGACCTTGTAAATGAGTTTAGGGGTGTTCCCTTCTCTTTGATATTTTGGAAGAGTTTGGGAAGAATTGGCATTAATTCTTTAAATGTTTGGTAAAATTCACCTTGAATCCATCTGGTCCTGGGCTTTTCTTTGTTGGGAAGTTTTGGGTACTGATTCAGTCTCCTTACTAGTAACTGGTTCATTCACTTTTTCTCTTTTTTCTTGATTCAGTCTTGGTATATTTTTTGTTTCTAAGAATTATCCATTTCTTCTACATTGTCCAGTGTGTTGGCAGATAAATGTTCCTACTACCCTCTGATCCTTTGTATTTTTTTTTAACTTTTTGTTTTGTACTGGAGTATAGCTGATTAACGATGTGATCGTTTCAGGTGCACAGATCCTTTGTATTTCTGTGGTATCAGTTGTAATGTCTCCTCTTTGATTTATAATTTTGTTGGGTTTTTTTTTTCTTGGATAGTTTAGCTAAAGGTCTGTCAATTTTGTTTATCTTTTCAAAGAACAAACTCTTAGTTTTGTTAATCTTTTCTCATTTTTTTCTTCTCTCCTTTAGTTATTTCTGCTCTAATCTTTATTGTTTCCTTCCTTCTGCTAACTTTAAGCTTAGTTTGTTCTTTTTTCTAGTTCCTTGAGGTGTAAAGTTGGGTTATTTATTAGAGATAGTTGTCTTTTCGTTCTGTATGTGTTTATGGCTATAAAGTTCCCTCTTAGAACTGCTTTTGCTAACATCCCCTGTTTTTGTAAATTGTGTTTCCAATTTTGTTTGTTTTAAGATACTTTTTAGTTTCCTTTTAATTCTTATTTGCTACATTGGTTGTTCAGGAGAATTATTTTTATGCATTCTTGAGTTTTTCAGTTTTCCTCCTGTTACTGATTTCTAGCTTTATACCATTGTGTTCAGGAAAGATACTTAGTATGATTTTGGTCTTGTTGAATTTGCTAAGACTTTTTTTGTGGCCTAACATTTAACATCCCAGTAAATGTTCTATGTGTGCTTAAGAAGAATGTATATTTTTCTATTGTTGAATAGAATGTTCTGTATATGTCTTTTATGTGCGTTTGGTCTATAGTGGCATTCAAGTCTGATGTTTCCTTATTGATTCTTTGTCTGAATGATCTACCACTGTTGAGAGTGGGATATTAAAGTCCCCCACTCTTATCTTATTGCCATTTATTTCTCCTTTTTGTTCTCTTAGTATTTGGTTTATATATTTAGGTGCTCAAATATTTAGTGCTTAAATATTTACAGTTATATCTTTTGATGGATTGTTGTTTTTCATTATGTAATTATCTTATATTCTTGTTTCCATTTTAGTAAAGTTAATTTTGACTGACATAAGTATAGCTACCCCTGCTTTCTTTTTTTTTTTTTTGGTTATTATTTGCTTGAAATATCTTTTCCATCCTTTTACACTCAGCCTTTATCTATATTTAAAGGTCAAGTGAGTATCTTGTCAGTAGCATATCATTGGATCTTACTTTTTTAATCCATTAAGCCATTCCGTGGCTTTTGGTTAGATAATTTAATGAATTTACATTTAAAGTAATTATTGATGGGTAAGGACTAACTGTTTTCATTTTGTTCATCGTTTTCTGTTTTATAAATCCTTTGTTTCTTCTATTCCTGTTGTGTTCTTTTATGATTTGATGAATTATTGTATCATTATGCCTTGACTTCTTTATCATATTCTTTTGTGTAACTACAATAAGTTTTTCTTTTGTGTTTGTCATGAGGTTTACATAAAATAATCTTGAAATGATAGCACCCTATTTTAAACTGGTAACACCTTAACTTCTATAACATTTCTAAACTTTACTCTTTTACTTCTCCTCCCCCTCACATTTTAGATTATTGATGCTACAGTTTACATATTTCTTATAGTATGTATCTAATAACAGATTACTGTAGTTATAGTTGTTTTAGAATGTTATTTTTTCCTTTGTTTTTAAATTGGTGTATAGTTGTTTTACAATGTTGTGTTAGTTTCTACTGTACAATAAAACGAAGTAGAGTTCCCTGTGCTATACAGCAGGTTCTTATTAGTTACCTGCTTTATACATATTAGTGTATATATGTCAATCCCAATCTCCCAGTTCATCCCATCCCTCCACTCCCCTCCCCCTGCTTTCTCCCCTTGGTGTCCATACATTTGTTCTCTACATCTGTGTCTCTATTTCTGCCTTGCAAACCGGTTCATCGGTACCATTTTTCTAGAATCTACATATATGCATTAACTTTTAACTTTAAATCTAGAGTTGTTAGTGAATTATACACCCCTATTACCTGACTGACTTTATAGTTACCATTACCAATGAGTTTTACACTCTCTTCATATGATTTTATGATATAATTAGTGCCCTTTTACTTCTACTTGAAGAATTCCTTTTAGCATTTATTTTAAAGCAGGTCTTGTGGTATGAACACCCTCTGCTTTTGTTTGCTTGTGAAAGTCTTTATGTCTTCTTCAGTTTTGAAGGACAGCTTGCTGGGAATAACATTCTTAGTTGATAGTTTTTTCTTTCTACATTTTCAATATATCATCCCATTCTCTCCTGGTCTGAAAAGTTTCTGTTGAAAAATCTGCTACTAGTCTTATAGGGATTCCCCTGTATGTAATTTCTCTTTTTCTTGCTGCTTTCCAAATTCTTTCTTTGTCTTAGACTTTTGACAATTTAATTATAATGTGTCTTGGTGTAGCCCTATTTGAGTTCAACCTATTTGGGGTCCTTTGGGCCTTCTGCCTACTACAGATTTGTTGGAAGTTTGATGTAGTTAAAATTATCCACCTTCCTTTAAGTTTCTGTGTTTTCTATAAGAAAGGTTTCCCTCTGTGGTCATTAATATACTTTAAAAGTTTTGCTTTTTTGCAATTAATACTTAATACATCTAGGACTTCACTATCTAATATAGTAGCCACCACATGTGACTATTTAAATTTGAATTACTTAAAATTACATAAAATTAAAAATTCAATTTCTCAGTCACACTAGCCATGTATCCAGTGGTTAATACCCATATGTGGCTCATGGCTACCATATTGGACAGCACTGATATAAAACATTTCTATCGTTGTGGCAAGTTCTATTGGCAGTGCTGATGTAGGACAGTAGTCTTCAACCAGGGGAGATTTTACCTCCTGCTCTCCCCACCAGAGGACATTTGTCTAGAAACCTTTTCGTTTTTCACAACTAGTGGGGTAGTTGTTCTATTGGTATCTAGTAGATGGAGGCCTGGGATGCTGTTAAACATCACATAATACATAGGACAACCCCCCACAAGAAACAAAATGCCAATAGTTCTGACTGTGGGAAACCCCACTCTAGAACGTATTTTGTTGTGAGGTGTGAGATGGGGGAGCTTGTTCTTTTTCCCTCTGACTAGCCAGTCAACTACACCTCATTTCCTGTGTGTACTTGATCCATTTCCCTCTGGTTGATAGTGAATCTTGAGATTTTTTCCCTTAAATGGTAGAGAAGGTCCTATTCCTTTGCTAATTAAGATATGATTTCTTAAAACTGACTTCTGTTGTCTTACAGATTCTTAGACTCTGCAAGTAAAGACAAGCTCATGTTCACAATATACCATGGCTTCATCATCAAGGTAGGAGTAATGTTTGTTGAAAGGCTTTATGCAAGTACAGTTGACTCTTGAACACATGGGGATTAGGGGTGCTGACTGTTCGCATTTGAAAATCTGTGCATAACTTTATAATCGGGCCCTCTGCACTGGCGGTTCCAACCCACTGAGGATCATGTAGTACTCCAGGACGTATTTACCGAAAAAAATCTATGTATAAGTGGACTCACATAGTTCAAACCCATGTTATTCAAGGCTAACTATATTTACTTCTCTGCTTTTGAAAGACCAAGTCTATAACATTTTCAGTTCTCAGTCCTGCTGCCCACCCTAAGCACTTGGTGTCTATGAAGCACCAAGGAGGGAGAGGAGAGAGGAAGATTGGAGAAAAGACAAGGCAGACAAAGGGGTGTGTATGGTACAGTACGGGTGCAGCTGTGTAGCTCTAGTTCTGCACTTGATCTGAAAACATGATTTACTTTCCTCATCTTTCAAGACACAAGATGGTTGTCTGTGGGGCTGCCTCAGTTCCTGCAGGCTTTCTCACTCCAAGGGTTTGAACAGGTATGCACAGAGGTGTCTGAGGGCCTGTTTGAGTGGTGAGACTAGCAGAGATTGTGGCTGGGCAGGCCTGGATCTGCTGCTGTAGACCAGGGGAGGCATGAAGATGGCTGTTACCCTTTGAGAACGTGTCTTAGTTCGAGGTCCATGGGAAGGAAGAGCTTCAGGTTTCCTCTCCCTTTCTGGCTGGCCATGGAGAGCTTGAGGCATACCACATCTCCCCAGAGGTCAGACTTCTTGTGCTCTAGCCTCCAGCAGGGGTGGCTGGTGGAGTCAGTGTCCTGGAAGTGAGGTTGGAGTGAATCTCTAATGCAGCTTAAACTCCAAAGCCTAAGAGCAGGCAGAGAAATAGCCTTTGTGGTAAAGCCTGCATCCTCCCTCTGGTACACGGCTTTTCTCATGCAGAGGCCAAGGCATAGGGCAGCAGCAGTGCCCACCTTCCCAAGTCCAGTCTATTCTCATAGCCAGAGTAATGTATTTGACCCATCACTGTCCTGCTCCATCCCCTCGGGGGCTTCCTGTGATAACTGAATACAACTGGAAGTCCTGATCAGGACCTCTGGAACCCTGTGGGGCCTTGGCCCTGGACCCAGCCACCTCTGCTCTACTCTCCTCCCTTCACTACATCTGCAGTGTCACTAACCTCCTTGCTGTTCATAGATATCAAGTCCCTTCAACCACAGGGCCTTGCACCTGTACCTACAGTTCTTTCTCTCCCTCTGGGACACCCAGTCTCCAGCTGTCTGCAAGGCTCACTCCACCTCTCCAGGCCATCTGCCCTGTGAGCCTTCCCTCATCATATGTCTAAAGTAGCACCCCCGGCCCTATTCCTTTGCTGCACTCCCTGTCCCTTATTCAGGATGGCCCTCATCACTACCTGATGCCGTCCTGCGTAGCTGCGTGTTTGTTGATGTGTCATCTGTCTCCTCCATTTGGAAACAAGTGCTATGCAGGTCAGGGAGTGGAGTGTGCTCACTGCCAGCCCCTGGGCAACACCTGCTCGTGGTTGGTGCCTGCTAAATACAAATACCTCTCGTATTGGGTTCCTGCATGTACAGGGAGAGTTAGAATAGCAGGGGTTTCCATGTTTCCAAATCTGTTTAGCAGCTAGTATGCAGTAGGATATCAGATGTTGAGGGAGCTTTGTGAAAATCTGTCTGAGTCTGTTTAGGTCCTGAATTTGGGTAGTGAGAGTTCAAGTATGGAGAGTTTGAGAATTGGGGAAGTGAGGAAACTTATATATGCCAAGTGAATAAGAAAAAGGGAAGAGACAGATAAGGCAGAAGCATGAAAGCAGAGCTGCTAGGGCCACTGAGTCAGGAGACATTGGTGGATGCCACTTCAGCAGCCGAGCCTTCCCACTGACAGTTACTGTTAACCAGGTGATAACAGTGGCACCTGGAATCATCACTAGAGGGGATCCTCTATTCAGACACTTTATTTAAGAAGGAAAGGAAGTATGGAATACCTCTTTAGAATGTCTCCCTTCATTAAAATACTTCTGCACTTAGATGAATAATTTGTGTTTGTCTGGAAAATTCACTTATCTGGCACTATGCCTTATGGTGTTAGGTCCAAGATGCTGTTGCAGTGAGAGTGCCCTCCTCTTGGGCAATGCTTTAGTGGAGTTTTCTGCTGAAGCACTGGCTTTCCTGCATGGCCTCTCTTCATTCTGTTTCCTGTCATCGCAGCAGCCTCACTACTGGGAGAAGAACCGGCTCAAAGCTGAAGTCCATGAAGTTGCTTGAGGTTCTGAATGCTCTGGAGGAGGAGGAGTCTGGCCAGAGTAGGGAGGAGATCTTCATTGCACCGCCCAACAATGCTTCAGGGGACTTCACTGATGAGGACTCGGGTGATGAAGATGGCCGGCGAGGAACCCACCTGCCTGGCAATGTGCTGCATGCCTCTGTTGTGCCTGAGGACTCCGGCACCGGGGAGGAGGATGATGACCTGCAGCTGCAGCCAGCCATGAAGAAGCAAAAGGCAGTAGTGGAACCTCAACATGTTTGGACCAAAAGAGATATCCGCCCGGACTTCACCAGTTGGACAGCATCGGATCCTCATATGGAGGATCTCAAAAGCCAGGAACTGAGTCCTGTAGGCTTCTTTGAATTGTTTTTTGATGAAGGAACAATTAATTTTATTGTTAATGAAACCAATCGTTATGCTTGGCAGAAGAATGTCAACCTGGGTCTCACAGCTCAGGAATTGAAGTGTGTTTTGGGCATTTTGATTTTAAGTGGGTATATCTCCTATCCAAGGAGAAGGATGTTTTGGGAAACATCCCCTGATTCACATCATCATCTTGTGGCTGATGCAATTAGAAGGGACAGATTTGAACTGATCTTCTCATACCTGCATTTTGCAGATAACAGTGAGCTTGATGAAAGTGATAGGTTTGCCAAGGTGAGGCCTCTCATTGTCCGCATGAACTACAATTTCCAGAAGCATGCACCCTTGGAAGAGTTCTACAGCTTTGGCGAGTCTATGTGTGAGTACTTTGGACACCGGGGGTCCAAGCGTCTGCCTGCGGGGAAACCTGTGCGGCTGGGCTACAAGATCTGGTGTGGGACGACCAGCAGGGGCTATTTGGTGTGGTTCGAGCCCTCACAGGGCACACTGTTCACTAAGCCAGACAGGGGCCTGGACCTAGGAGGCAGTATGGTGGTGAAATTTGTGGATGCACTTCAGACACGTGGGTGTCTGCCATACCACATATTTTTTGACAAGGTTTTTACAAGTGTCAAATTGATGTCCATTTTAAGGAAGAAAGGAGTGAAGGCCACAGGAACTGTTCGTGAGTACAGAACTGAACGATGTCCCCTTAAAGATCCCAGAGAACTGAAGAGAATGAAGAGGGGTTCGTTTGATTACAAAGTTGATGAGAGTGAGGAGATCATCGTGTGCCGCTGGCATGATAGCAGTGTGGTCAACATCTGCTCCAACGCTGTGGGCATAGAGCCAGCGGGGCTGACCAGCCATCACTCGGGAGCAGCCAAGACGCAGGCCCAGGTTCATCAGCCATCCCTGCTGAGGCTGTACCAGGAGAAGGTCGGGGGTGTCGGCCGCATGGACCAGAACATCGCCAAGTACAAGGTGAAGATCCGGGGTATGAAGTGGTACTCGAGTTTCATTGGCTATGTTATTGACGCTGCTCTTAACAATGCATGGCAGCTGCACAGGATATGCTGCCATGATGCCCAGGTGGACCTTCTGGCCTTCCGGAGATATGTGGCCTGCGTGTACCTAGAGAGCAACGCGGATACATCATCCCAAGGGAGGCGAAGCAGGCGGCTGGAAACCGAGAGCCGCTTTGACATGATTGGGCACTGGATCATCCACCAGGACAAGAGGACCCGGTGTGCCCTGTGCCACTCACAGACCAACACCCGCTGTGAGAAGTGCCAGAAGGGCGTCCATGCCAAGTGCTTCAGGGCGTACCACATCCGGTAATGCATCCTGGGCAGAGGGAGCCCCCTGGATGTTTGGTTTGTTATGAGATGTTTACAGCTAATTACATATAGCATTTGGGGCCTTTGTGTGTTGTGTTGACAAAAAGAGACCTGAATCCCTGATTTGGTTTTGTATTTTTCCTCGTCTTCCTTACAGTTATCTTTTTATCATCTTCTATTATGCCTACATGTAATATAAATTAATATTTATGTTAGTAATCATAAATGTTTATAAATATATATTTTATACTGTTATTTATTTCAACTTATGGGCCCTTTTTTATTCAAATAAAAATCTTGCTTTGGGGTATAGCTGTCCTGATAAGGAGACTTGAACGTAACCAAAAACTTAAGAGAAACTTTCGTGAACAGTAAAAAGATTTTATAGTGTATGCTCTCAGTTATAATCTAAGATATAGGCAATATTGTATCAATATGATGAAGGATATCTTGATCATATTTATTTCACTTTAATCTAATGCTAGCAAACTGTCCAGGGACAGATAATCTGCCATGTATTTATCCAGCTGACTAGATTTGTAGAGTTTGTATTTTCTTGATAAAAAATATTTTTCTAATACACATATCCATGTGGAATCCATTTTTATAAATAGTGTGAAGTAGGGAGTTTTTTCCCCCAAATGGGTGGTTAGCATCATATTAATATTAAAAGTTATATATATATTTCCCCAGTGATTTAAATTCTACCTTTAAAAATTCCTGAACTTTGGGGGAAAATACTGAAACAAAGAAAAAAGTTTATGTTAGAAAGCCTAGTGGAATATAACCCAGAAGAATAAAAGAAATACATATAAAAATTTGGACTTAATCAGAAATCTAAGAGAGCATGTTGAGTATCTTTATTTGGTAAAGAACTTTCTACAACAGCACAAATAAAAAAGAAACACATCAATATATGTGACCATATAAAACTGTAAAATTGACATTTATTAGTAAAGGTAAAATGCAAAGAAACTGAGAAAATATGTTACAAATAATTCCATTTGTAATAATATCCTCAGTGCAAAAAGATCTCGTAAACACATAGGTGACAAGGGTAAAATGTGCAATGTTATATAAAATAACAAATGATGGAAGATGAAAAACAAATGAACAGTGAAGATACATAAGAGGCAATAAACTGCAAAGGTAAGTAATTACTAGATATCCTTTTTTTAAACAAATGAATTTATTTGTACATAATTACTGTTGGTATGGGTGTAGAAAGGTGACAGACTCATGTAGTACCTGAGGGAGTGTAAATCTGTACACTCTTTCTGAAGGCAATTTATCAGGTCCATCCAAAATCTTAAAAATTGTTCATACCCATAGAAAAGGAAATGTTTGGTCCATTGTGATGTGAATACATTAATAAAAGGGGCAGATCCTCCCTTCAGTGGAATCCCAATTATAAATGTAGAAGGAAGGATGGAAATAAAATACTGCTATTTGGCAAACACCACAGCAGTAATTTTGCAGGCAAGAACTGTCAGTAGTTGCTAAACTTAGGAGGGCAAAGCATTTCCTCACAAGATATCCAGGGGGAATAAACAGAAACTGCTTAGTGGAGAAATCAGGCACACCACCACAACCAAGCAGTCAAAGTTAATACCACCAGTATTGAGATAGAGACATCATGTGTCCTACCCCACTCTCCTCAGGTATGGTAGGTACACTGTGATATTCCTGCCCAGAATGTACAGCCTGCATTCTACATCATGAGAAAACATGAGACAAACGCAAACTGAGGGACATTCCACAAAACAGTTGAATACCTTTTGAAAGTGTTGAGGCTGCAAAAGACAAAGAAAATGAGGATCTGTCCACAATTAGAAGAGACCAAGGAAGTATAACAAATGTGATGTGTGATACTCGCCAGGTTCCACAAAAAGGCTTTCAAAAAGAACATTAGTGGGACAATTGGTGAAACTTGAATAAGATCCGTAGTTATACTGTTTTATAAATATTAATTTCCTGGCTTTGACAACTGTACTGTGGTTATGCAGGATGTCAGCATCTGGGGAAGACTGGTAAAAGGGAACTATCTGTAACCCTGGAACTGTTTTGTAGGTTTGAAATACTTTCAGAGTGAACATTAAAAAATGTTTATACCTTTGGTGCATTATTTCCATCTTTAGAAATCTAGCCTGGATACTTTAAAACATTTGTCTTAAGGAGAAGTTTGTTCATCAAATTCTACTCTTCAGTTTTCATCTCTTGCATCATGATGATCCTGAAATATTAACCAGGTGTTTTTTACCTTACTGATGGTCCAAATCAATTAATTGAATGGTTGTGAAAACAGTTTGTGAAGCTTCCAGAAGCTACAGAATGGCCAATTGTGATTCCTCTCTTAAGAGCTAAAGGAAATATTTACACTTAGACAGATGTTTGGTCGCAGGTTATAATTGATGTATGATTGATGTAGGAGCATGTGTAATTGATGTAGGAGCATGTGCAGTCTATCCCAGGCCACTAAATGATGCCAAAACTAACACAGTAGAAGACTGTGTAGACAATATCAAGTATCACAACTGGCAGTCAAGGCCAGATGACATTCCTTGTTGGCATATTCCCAAAGGAAGACTTTAAGGTACGAAATGAAACTATGGTCTGTCACCAATCCCACAATTGGGGAAGCACTTGAACAGATTGTCTACCTTGTCTACTCTAGTACTGCAGAAACATTCATGAATCTTTTAACTAGAAAGGATATGAAAGTTGTCCTGGTTATTCTGGATGACATTTCAAAATTCTTCTAGTTGTTGAGAAACTAGACAAAATTAAAAACAAAACAAAACTTAGTACACCAAACTATGGAAGCTTGCACAACATTGAAACTTCTCAAATGAACCATGAAAATGACTTTGTGTACAAGACTTCATTGATTGCCAGGCTCTTATGTCTTTTTTCAAAAAGGTGGTAAAACACATAACATAAAGTTTATTATCTGTTGTATTTTGTCAGATGCTTTTTCTGACTCTATTGTGATGATCATGTTATTTTTTTCATTTTATTAACATGATATATTACATTTATTGATTTGTATATGTTGAACCATCCTTGCATCCCAGAGGTAAATTCCAGTTAGTCATGGTACATAATCCTTTTAATGTGTTCTGGAATTCAGTTTGCAAATATTTTGTTGAAATTTTTTGCATCTACATTCCTCAGGGATATTGGTCTGTAGTTTTCTTTTTTTGTAGAGTCTTTATCTGGTTTTGATAACAGGGTAATGTTGGTCTTGTAGAATGAGTTCGGAAGTGTTCCCTCATCTTCAATTTCTTGGAAGGGCTTGAGAAGGATTGGCATTTATTCTTTTTAAAATGTATGGTAGAATTCACCAGTGAAGTTGTTTAGTCCTGGGGTTTTCTGTGTTGGGAGGTTTTGAGTACTTACTCAATCTTTTTACTTGTTATTGTTCTGTTCAGATTTTCTATTTTTTTCCTGAATCAGCATTAGTAGGTTGTGTGTTTCTAAACATTTATCCATTTCTTCTAGGTTATCTAATTTGTTGGTGTAAAACTATTCATAGTAGTCTCTTATGATTCTACGTATTTATGTAATGTCTCCTCTTTCACTTCTAATTTTATTATTTGAGTCTTCTTTCTCATTATTTAAGTTAGTTTAGCTGAAGATTTGTCAATTTAGTTTATCTTTAAAAGTCAGCTCTTAGTTTTTTCATCTTTTCTATTGTTTTTCTGGTTGCTGTATTATTTATTTTGCTCTGATATTTATTATTTCCTTCATTCTCCTGATCCTGTGCTTAATTTTTCTTCTTTTTATGCTCTTGTGGTTTAAAGTTAGGTTATTTAATTTTTTTTTTCTAGTTTCATAGTATATGCAGTTATTGCTTTAAACTTTCCTCTCAGAACTGCTTTTGCAGCATCCCATAGGACTTGGTATGTTGTACTTCCTTTTGCAGTTGTTTTGAGATATTTTTAAATTTCCCTTTTGATTTCTTTTGTTTTTCAAAGGTGTGTTGTTTAGTTTCCACATATTTGTAAATTCTCTAGCTTTCCTTTTGTTGATTTCTAGTTTCATACCAATGTGGTCAGAAAAGAGAATGCTTTCAATCTTCTAAAATTTACTAAGACTTGTTTTGTGTCTTATATGCTTTATCTTGGAGAATGTTCCATGTGCATTTGTGAAAAATGTGTATTCTGCAGCTGTTGGATGGAATGTTTTATATATGTCTGTTAAGTTTATTGTTCTAAAGTTTGGTTCAGTTTAAACATTTTCTTTTGGTTTTTCTTTGTCGATGATCTGTCCATTGCTGAGAGTGAGGTATTGAATTGCCCTTTTATTATTATATTATTGTCTATTTCTCATTTCAGATCAGTTAGTATTTGCTTAATACATTTAGGTGCTCCTATGTTGGGTGCATATATATTTACAATTGTTATATATTCTTGATGTATTGAGCTCATTATCATTATATAAAGACCCTTTTGTCTCTTATTCCTGTTTTTGGCTTGAAGTCTATTTTGTATTATATATATATATATATGGCTACCCACTTTCTTTTGAATTCCATTTGCATGGGATATCTTCTTCTAACCACTTTGAGCCTATGTGTGCCTTTGGAGCTAAAGTGTATAAAGCCTCTTGTGTACAGTATATAGTTGGGTCTTTTTTTCCATGCAGCCACTCTATGCCTTCTCACCTCCTTTCCATTTCTGCTTCTTTCAGAATTTCTTGCAAGGTAGATCCAGTGGTTGAGAACTCCCACAGCTTTTGTTTGTCTGGGAAAGTAGTTATTTCTCCTTCATATCTAAAGGACAACTTTACCAGATAAAGGATGTTTTTTAAAACATCTTTATTGGAGTATAATTCCTTTACAATGGTGTGTTAGTTTCTGCTTTATAACAAAGTGAATCAGCTATACATATACATATATCACCATATCTCCTCCTTCTTGCGTCTCCCTCCCACGCTACTTATCCCACCCTCTAGGTGGTCACAAAACACTGAGCTGATCTCCCTGTGCTATGTGGATATTTCCCACTAGCTATCTATTTTACATTTGATAGTATATATAGTATATATAAGTCCATGCCACTTTCTCACTTCGTCCCAGGTTACCCTTCCCCCTTCCCATGTCCTCAAGTCCATTCTCTACATCTGTGTCTTTACTCCTGTCCTGCCCCTAGGTTCTTCATAACCGTTTTTTGTTGTTGTTGTTTTTTAGATTCCATATATATGTGCTAGCATACGGTTTTTTTTTTCTCTCTTTTTGAGTTCACTCTGTATGACAGACTCTAAGTCCATCCACCTCACTACAAATAATGCAATTTAGTTTCTTTTTATGGCTGAGTAATATTCCATTGTATGTATGCACCACATCTTCTTTATCCTTTCATCTGTCGATGGACACATAGGTTGTTCCATGACATGCCTATTGTAAATAGAGCTGCAGTGAACATTGTGGTACATGACTCTTTTTGAATTATCGTTTTCTCAGGGTATATGCCCAGTAGTGGGATTGCTGGGTTGTATGGTTGTTCTATTTTTAGATTTTTATGGAACCTCCATACTGTCTTCCATAGTGACTGTATCAGTTTACATTCCCACCAACAGTGCAAGAGGGTTCCCTTTCACCAGACCCTCTCCATCATTTATTGTTTGTAGATTTTTTGATGATGGCCATTCTGACTGGTGTGAGGTGATACCTCATTGTAGTTTTGATTTGCATCTCTGTAATGATTAGTGATGCTCCGTATCCTTTCATGTGTTTGTTGGCAAGCTGTATGTCTTCTTTGGAGAAATGTCTATTTAGGTTTTCGGCCCATTTTTGGATTGGGTTGTTTGTTTTTTTGAGATTGAGCTGCATGAGCTGCTTGTAAATTTTGGAGATTAATCCTTTGCCAGGTGCTTCATTTGCAAATATTTTCTCCTCTTCAGAGGGTAGTCTTTTTGTCTTGTTTATGGTTTCCTTTGCTGTCCAAAAGCTTTTAAGTTTCATTAGGTCCCACTTGTTTATTTGTATTTCCATTTCTCTAGGAGGTGGGTCAAAAAGGATCTTGCTGTGATTTCTGTCATAGAGTGTTCTGCCTATGTTTTCCTCTAAGAGTTTTATAATGTTTGGCCTTATATTTAGGTCTTTAATCCATTTTGGGTTTATTTTTGTATATGGTGCTAGGGAGTGCTCTAATTTCATTCTTTTACATGTAGCTGTCCAGTTTTCCCAGCACCACTTATTGAAGTGGCTGTCTTTTATCCACTGTATATTCTTGCCTCCTTTATCAAAGATAAGGTGACCATATGTGTGTGGGTTTATCTCTGGGCTTTCTATCCTGTTCCATTGATCTGTATTCCTGTTTTTGTGCCAGTACCATACTGTTTTGATTACTGTAGCTTTGTAGTATAATCTGAAGTCAGGGAGCTTGATTCCTCCTGCTCAGTTTTTCTTTCTCAAGATTGCTTTGGATATTCAGGGTCTCTTGTGATTTCATAAAAATTGTGAAATTTTTTGTTCTATTTTGTGAAACATGCCATTGGTAGTTTGAAAGGGATTGCATTGAATCTGTAGATTGCTTTGGGTAGTATAGTCGTTTTCACAGTGTTGATTCTTCCAATCCAACAACATGGTATATCTCTCCATCTGTTTGTATCATCTTTAATTCCTTTCATCAGTGTCTTGTAGTTTTCTGCATACAGGTCTTTTGTCTCCGTAGCTAGGTTTATTCCTAGGTATTTTATTCTATTTGTTGCAATGGTAAATGGAGGTGTTAAGTTAATTTCTCTTTCTGATTTTTCATCATTAGTGTATAGGAATGCCAGAGATTTCTGTGCCTTAAGTTTGTACTTTGCTACTTTACCAAATTCATTGATTAGCTCTAGTAGTTTTCTGGTAGTGTCTTTAGGATTTTCTATGTATAGTATCATGTCATCTGCAAACAGTGACAGCTTTACTTCTTTTCCGATTTCGATTCCTTTTATTTCTTTTTCTTCTCTGATTGCTGTGGCTAAAACTTACAAAAATATGTTGAATAATAGTGGAGAGAGTGGGCAACCTTGTCTTTTTCCTGATTTTAGTGGAAATGCTTTCAGATTTTCACCATTAAGAATGATGTTGGCTCTGGGTTTATCAATATGACCTTTATTATGTTGAGGTT